GGGCAGGGTATCAGCTGAATCCGGTAATTCGGTGTTGTACATGTAGACAAAATATTGTGGGAAGTTTCGTGAGAATTTGCAGTATTTGTGGCACTAGACATACATTGTATCAGTATACATGTAAAATATACTATAATTATATACTAGTATTTCAACAAATGAATTACTTCAGTAGTCCAGCCCCCACATTTGTATACACTGGATGAGTTATGTATTTTAAAATTGTCAGTGCCTGCAGATCTGCATGCTGGGATTAATGTAGCAGTCTGTTCTCTATTTTAATGCCATTTGGGTTTCTACAGCTAATCTGAGTTGCAATTGTTTCACATGTATGTGGTCAGTCATTATATGGCAAGTGAAGTTTGTTGATGCCTGTCTGTTACTAACCCTGGATCTACTAGCATTGTTAAAGTAGGTGATATGGTGTTAGATTGTTCACTCAAACACAGTCATAGATCCTGCTATCGTGAAGTGAGGTGGATGTTGGGTCAGTTTGGGACCAAACAGCTGAACCAATTACAAACTAATATTATGGTATGAGCAAAACTTGGTGTTTCTGTTAAAATCTCAATTACACATCTGATTTCCTGGACTTAATTTAATTCTAATGTACAGGGAATCATAATTGGGTTATTGCTGGTGTACACATGCGTATTGAAGGGATTATGCTTTGTGTCTGTCTCTTTTACAATATCAAAATCCATGTCTGTGTTGAAATGGACAACCACTCTGACAGTGCTGTGGATCCAGGGTAGTAGCTGTATTTTTGCTGTGTGCATTTAATGTACAATATTTTTGTGAGTTTAATGTCATTGTATAGTGATCTTTTTTTTAATTTTTTGCTAGGGTCATGGGAATGCTGAGAGTTGATTAAAGAAGAACTTTGATCACGCTGCACTGAATATTCAAAGAATCTGTACCCTGGACAAATAATATCCTGGACAATCTTAAAAAATGTCTTGCCTTGTTTCGTTTCAAGTAAATGCCCCCAGTGTGAGGAGTGAAAAGGGAGAAGTATTGTGTTTAGTAGGTAACTGTGATGAATTAGGAAATTGGTCACATAAATATGTGGTTGAGATGGAGCGAAAGGAGCCAAACAGGTACAATATAATATCATTTTATTCTAAAAATACTGCTTGATTATGTAGTCATACCTTATTAGTAGCTACATGCACTGTAGATTAATATGATTAAAATTAGTCGTATTTTGAATTTTAAGTAATTTTTTGGGCCTATATCCGCTTCTATTGGTGATGCGCTTTTTTCTGATAGTGCAAATTTGGAACGATAAATCACAAACAGTTATGCTTTT